TAGGAATAAATGTCCGTTAATATCCCACCAGTCCGAGAAAGGCCTGAAGCTGCTTCACTGAAGTTGGTTCTGGGAACGCTGTCACAGCTTTTACCTTTTCGGGATCAGGGCGACACTCCCCGGGAGCAATGATCTGACCTAGAAACTTCAGGGAACGCTTACACAGCTGTACTTTGGTGGGATTGATTGTGAGGCCTGCATTAGAGATTCGGTTCAGAACCTCTATCATGTGCTCGATATGTTCGTCAAAGGACTCGGAGCAGGTGAGGACGTCGTCTAGAAAGGCTATGCAGTATGTGTGCTTTATCCCTTCCAGTACCTTGTCCATTAAGGCCTGGAATGTGGCCGGACCTCCTGCCACGCCGAAGGGCATACGCTTGAACTGGGACATACCTTTATGGCAAATAAATGCCGTTTTGTGGATGTCTTTTTTTGCCAATGGGATTTGAAAGAACCCTTGCGATATATCCAAGCTAGTGAACCACCTAGCCTTGCCCAGCTGAGCCAGTACCCAGTCCGTCTGAGGCATGGGATACACTGGAATGTCTGTCCAAGAGTTCAAAGGTCGATAATCAATGGCTAAGCGATACCCTCCGGTTTTCTTGGCCACCAGTACAGGTGCACTGGCCCGCGAGCTTTGACATGGTTCTAACAGGCCTTGGTTTAGGCGATCGTTTACACATTGATCGATTATCGCTCTCTTCTGAGCATTCGTCGGCCTCAGTTTACAGTGAACTGGAGAGTTGGTGCCACTGTTTATTTTGTGCTCCGTCAAGGAAGTTCAACCAGGCTCTGCACAGAAATTGTGCTTATAACTGTCGAGCAAGCTTGCTATGCGTGGGTCACTTTCAGGCATATTCCCAGGTGTGTCTATGACGGACTCTGTGGTCATGTCTAAAGTGTTGCTGTCAGGTGGTTCGGCAAACAGGGCCTCCAACGAATAGATGGGTCCGTTGTTGGACTTGTTCAGTAGGCTCTTTCGTGGCACCCTGTCGAATCGAACAACCTCTTGTCCTTCCACTCCTACTGTCCAGCCACCCAAGCCCACATGAACAGAGATTCCCGTAGCCGTAAGAAAGCCCCGGCCCAGTGCATCGTCTCGGCACAATCGCGAGATGTGCAGGAAGCGCTGTTTGCGGGACCCACCAGACCAACGTACTCAGCATCTCACAGACGCGGTTGTTTGTGACCATCCTGTGGCTAGCCGAAGGAAATAAGTCGCTTCACGTGCTGAAACCCCTGTTGAATTGGCAGCTTCCATTGCTGTATCTCCCAGAAGACTAATGCTGGACCCAGTATCCAGGAGGGCGTAAAACACCTGGTCACCGATGGTGACTTCGAGCAGTGGCTCCTTCCCTCCGGCGGTTGCTGCCACTTGCAGCGTGGTTTCGTAGAGATAGGCCGGGGCAAGCTCTACGATTGTCCGTTTCCCGGACAGTTGGCTTGTATGTGGCCCGTCAGGTTACATCTGTAGCACCGGTGCTGGTTACGAGGTCTTCCTGTGGCGCAGTGACGTGCGGCATGCCCGACGCCGCCACAGCGCTGGCATCCTCGCCCCGCGGAATGTGGCCACGTGGGTACTGGCTCTACAGGCGGGGACCACGGAGTTGACCACGGGTTTAATGTCGGGGCTGTCAGTACAGACTGATCTCGGTATGATCCAGGTACTGCTGTCGGGTGGAGAAGCCATTCTTGTTGGGCACCCGGTGTTGCGGTTACAGCACTCTGTGTACAGTGTACTGCTGAAACTTTGTTGGAAGGGGCATGATGTTCTACGAAAGCCAGGTCCTTGGCAGCCTGATCTCCATTCGTTGGTGGCGGAACGTACCGGAGGCGATGCCAAGCGCGCTCCATGATAGATCCTGGCGTTTTTGCCATTTCTTGGAGATTTGCGAAGACCATGTGTTCCGAGAGATCTTGAAACTTCGGATGCATTTGTCTGCGTACTCTTTGCACCTTTTCATAATCGGGCACTGGCTCTCCAATGCGATCATAAAATTCTGCAATCACGTGAATGAATTGCTTCAGATTTTCTTGCGGGTGTTGGGTTCGCCTCTCGAGCTCTTCTTTCAGTCTATGTTTGTAGTCCACTGAAGCGAACTCCGACTGGAGCTCTTGGCCAAAAGACTCCCAGTTGTCGAATCCCCCCGTGAATTTCCACCATAACTTGGCAGTTCCCTCGAGTGCAGCGGGCAGCACTTGGCGCAGGCGCTTGTCCTGAGGTACCCCAGTTAGCGAACAAAACATCGCTAGCTTCTCCAGGAATTCTTTAGGCGTTTGCGTATCTTCGTAGCCGATGAATTTCGGAAGTGATAAATTCAGGAACTTCCACGACATGGATCCTTGCTGGCAAGCACGATCTTCTGGAGATGCTACCGGTGTGTTCATGAGCAAGTCCCGTACTTGTACAGCCATCCGTTCGCGGCCCATTGTGGACCCGCTTGTCAGGGCTAGGAGTTCCTGAACAACATTGTCTGGCGTCGTTTGTCCGGAAGGCGCGCTTACATTTCCGTTGGCTTCCATGTCGACTCGTAATTCCTTAGGACGAGCCCCCACGTGTTAGGGTCTAGGGGTTTTTCTACATAAATTCACTCCAACGAGCTATTTTCCAACCGTTTGAGTCCTAACTTCCTTCTTCTTGCTCGTGTCCGGCCTGGCGCATGCTCTGCTGTCCCATCGCATTGTCCCCCGTGAGCAACAGTTCCTTGACGTGCCACCAATTGGACAGGGCATGAACTCCGTGCCCAGCACGGTGTGTGGCGCTTGGGCGCCTATGTTCTGTGCATAGCCGTCGCACGCATAGCCCGCACCCGTCACACTATTTGCTATATTACTTCTAAAAAACTCACGGATTTGTTTTTCTTTTATAAAAGACTACATGACATTTGTTTCTGCGGATTTTCTTTGCATAGAAATAAATCAATAGTACATGGAAGACGAAGTTTTAGAGCGCAGCTCTTAGGGGCCCGTTCCCGGCTTGAGCGGCGTCGGCGTCGCCGTCGGCGTAACCAAGGTAATCCCAAGGTTACGTGGCCCCCCAAGGTCATCCCAAGGTCACGTGACCCCTAAGGTCACCCCAAGGTCACGTGACCCCCAAAGTCACGTGACCTCGGGGGGTCACGTGACCCCCCAAGTCACGTGACACCCCCAGGCCACGTGACCACCCTCAGGGTCACGTGACCCCCGCCGAGGTCACGTGACCTCCCCGATGACGTCATCGTCACTGATGACGTCACCGGCATCCGCATCGTCATCGTCATCATCACTGATGACGTCATCAGTGACGTCACGGATGACGTCACCGGCATCCGCATCGTCATCGTCATCATCACAGATGACGTCATCAGTGACGTCACTGATGACGTCACCGACATCCGCATCGTCATCGTCATCATCGCTGATGACGTCATCGGAGCCCGCATCGTCATCGTCACTTTCCCCCCCAGTGAAGTGACCCCCCCCCCGAGGTCACTTCACCCCCCCAGTACCCTTCCCTCCTCCTCCTCAAGAGCTGCGCTCTAATTCGGTGTTATAGGGAGTTGTAAACGGCTTTCACTTTTTTCCTATGAAAGACGGGGCTGCTAGAATTTGGTATTTTGTGCAGCCCTTTGTTTTTCTAGAAAGTCATCGTCACCATTCAGCTGAAAGAAACCCATTTTAGAATTCTCGTAACTGCGAGACGCCCGAATTTATCTCGAATCGCCGGATCATTTAATATTGTCATTATCATTTATTACGAATCAAGTCTCTAGGCCTAAATAAAAAGAAAGAGCATTCAATGTTAAAAAGGAACATTATTTTAGGGGACCGAGCAACATTTCAATATCTATCTTATCAGTCCAAATTTCGAAAAAAAAAACGGTTTGTTGGAGGGTTTAACCGATAACCGCAATAAAAAAAAGAAAACCACAACCTCAAAAACCCAATACGAAACCGACTTCTTCAACAGAACGGTAGCCGTAACCAAACCGCTTTTATTTTCGGTCCGAATTTCTTTTAAAAAACCTGTGCTGATTTCGTAAGCAAAATAGGTCATAATATTTTACTAGATGAAAAATGTCTCAGTACCCCAGAAAAGAAAGTTTAACAAACCTACGTATAGAGTTTGAGACAAAAAGAGAGCAGCGGGGTTAGTAGATCAAACAAATCAGAGATGGCGCAAAACACATAGTTGCAGACACAACTCGCTGATGGCGCCACAACCTCGGACTCCAACGCTCTTTCGTCTTTAGTTGCCCCATCGTCGCCCTTCGTGAAAAGTTCTCCCCGTCCTGGAAAAGCTCCGCAGTGAAACGATATAGAGACAGCAAAACAATAATGCATTTAAATTCATTTTAATTTAATTTAGTCCCGGAGTGAGAAAGGAGGTAATATGGTCAAAAGACAAAAAAGTCTAAATGATAGAGCGTAAAAAAAAAAAAACTGTTTTTTGCATTCTCAGACTGGGAGAGGAAAGTAATAAACGACATTTCTACAGGATATATTGAGTAATAAATTAGCAAAAACTTAGAAAGAAAAAAAAAAATCGCGGAACAACTTTTTTAGATTTATATCGCGCCCTATCTCAGTTACGAAGTTTATGCGCCCTGCCAGTATGTTTGTTGAAGCCCATCAGTCTGTCGTTGTAGCGATGCATGATGAGTTTATTTTTTATCTTTATCTAAGTGTAATCGCCGCAGTTTACCGCAATATGATAATACTGAACGCTGAGGAGATTAAACGGTTGATAGATTTATTATGACATAAAGGTCTGCCGTTTCAAAAAGTTTAGATTGAGCGTAAAAATATGCGTGCAGTCCGGTTACCTGGATCAAACGATATAATATATCTACGGCACAAAGGTAGAAGCGAGATTGCATTTAGATAGGATGAGTACTGAGATCGATGTTTGGATCATATTTTATGGCAAGTAGCGTTTATAGTGTTTATAAATCAATATGTTTCGTCACTCAAGCCGGGCTATTATGTACCCTCTGTGAACGTCGTAGTTGTTTTCTAGACTACATGTTGTGCGTTGTTACTATAAAAACTTGCCTGAAATAAAATATGAAATAAAGATTAAAACGGTTCTTGCACGCGTGAAATTGTTCTGCGTCTTTAGCGCTAAATATCGAACATGTTAGAGGCAACAAAACGAGCCTTTCCCGTATTGGAGCAGCTGAGCGATATGCGCACTGTCTATTATACAGAGTGTTTCAGCTATTATTTTACCAAGACTAAAAAAGAGGTTGAGCGATATTGCGCGAGTTGAACCAACGCAGTGTTCTTCACAGTCCTTTTGAGTCAGTCAATACACGAGAGTGGACCGGAAGGTAAATGCAATTATCTCCTTGAGGTTGGTGTCTGGTAGAGCAAGTTCCCTCCGTTAAGTGCGTTTTCCAGGAACCGCTCTCCATTAATGTAGCAGTCGGCGGTTTTGTGAACCACAGTGTTTAGCTTAACTGGATTGTGTTTGCAGTCTCTTTCAACTCGTCTCACTCTTTCGTGATAGCTGGTTTATTCGCCTCTTTTGCTTTCCAACACACTCAGTGGCGCCTTCTATTTGGCAGCCCAGGCACACTTGCGATTCACGACCATTTCCATAATTTTGAGGCATGATTTTTTTTTTCCACAGAAGTGAAGTAAGTCGTACAATGCTATAAGTGGCCATCTTGAAAAGATAGAGTGCATATTTTATTTCACAAATACAGCGAAACACGCCAAAAAGTTCAGAAACAGAAGTGGTGGGGAATATTTGCACACTGGCGCCACCACGTTTCAACTCACGCAGGAAAGACCGAATACTAAAACGTACTCCAATAAAATGTTTTTTTTTTCCCTGTAGAATAACAAATTGCGACGGAAATGGCTGTTATACTACATACGGTTCTAGAGAGCGTTGATATGAGTAAAACACAAGTTTACGAATGGAGTTCGAGATTAAAACAAGGCGAAATGTCAATTTACATTCAATTTCGTTCAGGGCGATGTTCCACCAGGCGTACTGAACAGATTCGTCGCAAAATTCGTCCACCCATTTTCAATCACCACAGTCTGACGATTGCTAAAATTGTAAAGTTCACTGGAGCGTCATGGATTTCCTGTTAGATAGTTTTATTGGAATATTTACAGCTAAAACGTGTTGCAGCAAAATTCTTGTCTGGCATCGTCAGATTGGTTCGTCCACCACGGCAATCTGCCTGTGCACACCACGCTCTGCTCAGCAATTTTTGTTCAAAAACTGCATGACCCCGACAATCCTCCTTCTTTATTCAGCCGACCTCGCCCCGTTTAATTTTAATTTTGTTTGGACGATTGTTTTTTTTAACAGGGAAGCATATTTATTACGTTTCCTTCGCCACAATATCGAGGGGAAACAAATAATTGGCAGTAGCACTGCAAGACAAAAACTTCCACGCTTATAAAGGCTGCTTTCAGCATTGCAGAAAACATATCATATGAGACGGAGGATATTTTAAAGATAAAAAAAAAATATTGCATGAGTAAATAAAAATCCACAGTTTTGTAACAATCAATTCTGTTTATATGTCGGATCCTTTTCGCAATTTTGACATTTACAAGGAAACCCTCTAAAACAGACGTTCTAGAACGCATTGAGAAAGATCCTCTCTTATGGTGTCATGTAAGTAGCCTTCGCGAGCAAAGTCTTTAGAGCTATAACGAAACGCTCGAGATCCAAGCAAATTTACTTGAGTGCTAGATAAAAAGCTGCGTTGTTATCGCCCTGAGTGGCCCGTTTAGAGCCGCACACTGTCTCTACCCCAGACTCTGTGTCAAACACCTCTTAATCTCAGAAAACTCGAAGCGCCTTCCTTTTCCATAAAGCATACTCCCCACATGCACGATTCGCTGACAAGGACCCCATTATTCTACTGACGTTGCTTCGCGGATTCGCTCTTTCGCCAGCTCAGTGCCTGCTTTCGAAAAGTAGTGACTCTCGAGGTTTAGCGCCGATCCCTGTTTAAGCTGAGAGCACGGTTGTTGCTACAATTTGTTCTCTGCCAATCTCACTCCCGAACGTACACGCCTCCGTTATTTCAGAGTTACGTACCGTAAATGTCGCATAGCTTGTTGTTTAGCCTGTCGTTAGCTTTTATAGCACAGTTTGAGGTCTACATATTTTGTGTTAGAAAGTGGCCAGCTGAACAGGATAGAACAAGAAACACAGGCAAAACAAATTTATATTAATACCACTGGACTGGAGATGTTTACTTTATTTTTTTTTCATTTGCCTTTCTGCTACGGTAGAGTGACTTTTGTTTTCTTTCTGCTAGTTACTCATCGTCTTCACCGTTATTGATCAACATTTCTCCAAGCTGTTCGCCTGAAGTAGCTTAGCATTGTTGATATATCGAAGCTCCGAAAATTTATGTTCTCCAGTGGTATGTTCTCGTACAAAAGAAGGAACACTGAGCGAATATTCCGTCTTCTCATCAATGGCTAGGGCTTCGAGTGATTCTCGCCCGCGTTGGTCTCAACGTAGGCCCAGAATGAAGAGGTCGAATAGTCTTGCATCACATTTGCATTCACGACAAAGCTGCAAGGTGCCGCACTGCAGTTCATTTTCTTAAGGATGCAGCATGCTCTCGTATGTGGTCGTTGATACATCGGCCGGATTGGCCACTATAACACTTGCCAGATGCCCAGGGATACGTTACACACAACCTCTTTTTTGCATTGAGCATAATTGTGTTTTGCTCTTTGTCACATTTGTTTTCGTTGGTCCTTTTGTCTTCGTCTCTTTTTTGTGTCCGTTGGTCCTCGGGTTTTTGTTTACATTGCTCCACGTGGAATAGGCCTCGTTCGGCCCAGGCCATACAAATTAAACCTCTTGCCGGCCTGCGATCGTTTTTAACACGTGAGGACCTCCATACAAACATGGCACCGAACACCAGTTGAGAGTTGTGCGCGTTAGTGTATCCTTGTAAATAGACCACTTTGAACTTTAGAATTGTCCTTGTACACGAAGAAAGAAAGGACGGGAGGGGACACACAGCTGACTGCCAACATTGTTTTGGTGAAGACTTCTTCCGTGCGTGTTTACTTCTTTATTTAGAGGTAAAAGTAGAGACCGAGAAACTTACTGGATCAACAAACCTATTGCCCTAATAAAGGTTACTCCTGATAATTATAATTTTACAAATTTCTACAGAAAAATTACAGAAAATACCTAAATAATATTTGTTTTAACTGACCCGCCACAAGCTCGTGCGGTTGTTCGGGGCGTGATACTTCATGTACTCCGTTCACCCTTGAGTTTAGACTAAAAGCTCCGCATTTAGTGCGAGCTTTCTCCCATTGCTAACGTAAGTCGGAACGTCCAGGCACGCGCAACCAAAGCACTGCGGAAGTCAGCGAGCTCGCGCTGAAGGCGGAGCTTCTTGTCTCGGCTTAGATGCGAACGGAGTATAGGTATTTTCTTTAATTTTGTGAACGGTGATAGATGAGGTGCTGACTCAATCTTCCGCGTGTTCCTCGATAGCGAGCACCTTGAGTATCTCGTGTGTATGAGGATTGTATAGTAATCTTATTGAAAACGTTCAGGGCGTAAGTTTATAAGGATCGTATACGACCGATATATTGGCCGCCACCGATTCTACAATTATCATTCCCTGCCCACTGACCTCGGTCTAGTGCCTCTGCGCAATAGACGAATTGCAAGAGACATGCATTTCCTGCGTCAAATTGTAGATGGTTCTCTTGATTGTGCCCAGCTGCTGATGTCGCTGAGGTTCCGGGTACCGTCACTGACATGGCTCTTCGGAGGGGTTTCCAGTTTTGGCAAAGCTATATCGTATTTGTCACAACTACGCTGCATTCACTGGAGGCCACAGCTGCCTGCGCGACTGCTGAGCGAGAGCTGATAGCGGACTAGCACAGTTAATTTGCAACGTGCATGCAACACCATCAGGATTGCCTGTCTTAGCAGCCTATTAATGTGAGCTTGTTCTGAGCACGACCACTGAAGCACGCGATGGAGCAGGCCATGGAGCAGACGATGGAGTAGACCAGTGGTTCTCAACCACTGATGTTTCGCGGACCCCTTGTGGACCAGCGGAATGATGGAGGACCCCTTTCGTGATGGGGGGAGGCGGAATGTATAAGTTGAATATAATATTGACATTATAAATGGATTTAGCTAAGGGCTAGTGTGAAGTAGACTTCTCTTATTGACATACAGATGAGAAAACTAGCCCGTAAATGGAAAAATTCCTTCTCGGTCGGAAGAAAATACAACTTTTATTGCCGGGCTTTACAGATGAGGCAGGGCTCCGCGGACCCCCAGAATGCCTTCGCGGACCCCTTAGGGTCCGCGGACCCCCCTTTGACAACCACTGGAGTAGACGATGGTGCTCATCCGGGCTACCTAGGGGGCGCTAAAGGGATCTACTAGTGATGACGTTTAGACGAGGAAACGCGGAGGCCTTATGTTCTAGGTGCTATTGCTCAGAGCGAGCTAACATTAAAAGGGACCGGCCATCTCGATGGCGCTGAATGCACGTTGGAGAAGAACAGTGAAAGCTCGCCGTCAGTACGCGCTCAGCAGTCGCGCACACTAACGCTCTTTCATGTTTTAAAAGTAGCGCAATGTGCGTCGATTCAAGACGCCTGTGCAATGTGCAGCCCTTGAGAAGATAATAGGAGTTTTAGTAGATCGTTTTCAAAGGCCCGTTACCGCTACGAGCGCGCGCTTCAGAGCATGCATCGAAGTGGCAGCGCGAGCTCCCGCTACGATTAGCGTAGCCTGAAAACATGATCTACTAAAACTCTCTATTGGCGACACACCACACCTCTGAGCTAGATTTTATGTGCCATGATATTCCCAGAAGTGACGTGCGGCACGTGTCTCGAGCATTTTCACAACCATGAATGGCGCCACTTTTCCCAGAATAGAGGTGCTATAGCGCACACAGCTATGGCCGCCAGTGAATACTCCCTATTAGCGGCGAGATGTTTCAGTGGAGCACTCTCATGGTTCCTAGTAGTGACGTCATTACCTTGCGAACACCAAGTTTGATAATGTTCGTAAGGAG